AAATTCGAAAGTCTTTTTTTGAAATATTAAAAGTTGTTAAAAATTAAAATATTAAAATAAAATATTACTAAAAGTAAAGTGAAGCGAAATTTCCAAATTGTTTTTTTTATAGATAATGGATTGATTATTAAATTACCTAATGAATATATATTTAAATTTGCATACCTATTGTTACATTTTTAAGAGATTTAGAATATTTGTTCAAATAAATCTATCAATGATGCTTTGTCAACACAGGAAATCTGACAATTTCATGTTTATGTCTACTTATTATAATATTTTCAAATATAGCATCCATCGTGTAATTGGAAACCCAGCGACGCCTTAAATTTCGTCATATATCAAGGTTTCATGAATGCTTCTTTATTCTCACTTACATTGTTGAAGTGAACAGTTGAAAAACTAACAGAATGGATATTGTGAGAGATTTTCGATTTAAAATAATTATTTTCATTGTAGTTTGTCCAGTTGCAGTATACCTTTTACTATTAGTAACAAATCTTTATTTACTCAGTAGTGAAAAAACATTTTATATCAAAGAAGAAACTTTCTTGGTTGGTGAAATATATAAAGGGAATCAGTTTTCTTCTATTGAACAAAAGATCGACATGAAAAATGAATATTTATTGGATAATGAAGAAAGTTCTCCATCTAAGACTGAATTTATGAGTGAATCGATTGCTATTGAAATGAATTTCAAGAAACCAAACTTTAAGATTGTAAATCTTTCTGAAATTGACTCCGGTGTTTTCAATCTAACATTTGTTCTCAATATACCATGGACTAAAGATTTTGAGAACAAATTTAGCGAGAAGACATTAACATTAAAATATTTCATATCACATGGAATTGAAGACTTGTACGATCTGCAGTACTATAGCATGGACAAATCTATATCAGCAAATATTGAAAGAGTTGACAAAGAAATGTTTCTCAAAATGCTTGGAGTTTGTTTGGAACTAGAAATTTCTACAATAAGGGGAGAAGTTAAGTTAGAAGAATTAAGATTTATGCTTGAAAAAGAAAACAAAGCAATAAATGAATTTATCGAAAACTTTCGTAAAAAAGAAGAGTTTTCAATGAATATTTTTAAAAATCAAATCTCTTTAGAATATTATGAAAATGAAGAAACCGATACCGT